CCAAGGCCTCAGCTGACAATTGTGGGATGTAGAACACAGTCCAATATGTCCAGATGTTGTCTCATCATTCTTCTCCATGCAGACAGCCTCCCAGTCATCCACGGAATGGATTGTACAGTCCACAAAAAATGCAGCCATCGTCCCAGGGTGGTGTCTATGAAAACATACTGAGAACATGAATATGAAATGAAATTGAAAAGACTCACTCAAACACGAGCTCCAACTGGGGGATGTACAGGTAACCCCCAGTGAACCTCCCAGCCACGAAGGAGATAGAGACCCCAAAGTCTGTGTCATCCCAGTGAGGGAATACTGGCAATTTGAAGACAATTGCTCTTGTATTGTGGCACCCACTCGGCCTCTCCCATATCTTGCCTGCACTCCAAATCGCCTTCATTTCCTGGTACTTCCCTGGAAAAGCTACATTGACAATGGCTTCAATGTTTGACTTGAGCATCTCAGTGTTCTTGTACATCACTCCTACAGCAGTAGAGCCACTGCTTGGGCACATGTCCTTTGCCAGATAGAGACCCTACAGATGTTAGGTGATGAAGATTAGTTAGCACTGGGGCTGTCCTGACCTGTCCGTGATGCCCAATCTGCTCCCTTCCCTTGATGAAGTGCCACATGCCAGATAGCTCACAACCCTCACCAGGCTTGTCACTATAAACCCTCCCGGATTGGAAACCTGGGTGTTCTGAAGTCCTGCCTCAGCAGGTTTGGATGTTCAGTTGACCTCAGGAGCAATGGGAAAGCAGTGAAAGGAAGTCCCATTCTCCACTAGCGGACCATGCCTCATACTCATCTGATCATGGTTTGGGGTGTTTATGAAAGTCATTGCATGGATGGCCTTGCTGTAGGCATTGATCATATTCTCCTATGGAATGAGCACCTGATAGATGAATGGGAGAACAAAGTTGCACATGAAAACTGTCTTGAACAATGTTATAGCCTTTTCTTTTAGCAGCCTGCACTCTCTGGGCTAGATATTTGCATGTGGTAGCCTGTTCCAAATCCTTCTGAGAGAAAATTAGCAGACATATATAAAGCTGGTATGTGACTCACCACCTTCACAAATGGCTTTCACCAAGACCCTCCTGGTTGATGTACTGTACACTGTCATCCCTGTAATGATCTCCAAGGTAAAGGAGCAGGGTCTGCCCAGTCTAAGGATCCACCACCTGTGTTGAGCAGGAGATGACTCTCCCTTCCTCAACGAGTCTCCGTACAATGGGAACGACTCACTGCAACTCTTTGGAGGACTTGGCTTGTGATTTAAGTTCAGTCAATGTTAAGGGTGAGCAATAGGTAGGGATGAGTGGGAATGCAGCCCTCAATCTGTGTTCAAATGCTGCAGGGAGTAGCCTGTCTTGAGTGACCTTGCTCCTGTTGCTGAGTGTTGAGCTTGGGGTACCAGGTTGTTTTCAGATGTATGGGTGATACCACTTGATATTGGGGTTGGACACACATATCTTGTAATGAGAATCTTGTTATATTCTGAGTTGAAATCAGAGGATTAATCCGTTGATCGGAGTTCCAGAATGGAAAATCGGATCAATAGCAAACACCACAGGAAGGTACTACCTAGACTGGCAAGAGTTGAAGTCATTCCGATGAAAGTCGGAACTTCAGAGGATCGGAGTCGGAGGGAACTCAGAAGCAAGATGAGTAGTCAAGAACGTTAATAATCAAACTGAAGTTACATACAAGCATATTGAGTATTTATACTAAGTCATAATTACATACAGCCGTAAAGTCTATTTCCTACTAAAGTAATCATGAACGGACAAAGCCGCAAGTCAAAGTTGCAGAGCGGTGAAGTCCACTCGAGAAGTAAGTAAAAATTAGAACAAGGAGAAAACGGGAAATGCTCAGTAATCCTTCATTGCGTAAAAACCCTGCTTTGACAGCCTCCGGAATTCCAGAGGCCAGAATATTCTGTTTTGATTGGAATATCTCGGAGGCATCGGAGGATGCCAGAGGCTCGAGACATACAGATATAACAGAAGCAAGACGAGTAGTCAAGAACATTAATAATCAAACTGAAGTACCATACAAACTTGTGGACTATTTATTAAGTCATAATTATGTACAGCTGTTCTTCAATATCCTAAATAAGAAGTCATGTACGGTCGAAGCTGTAAGGCATAGTTGCGGAGCGGCGAAGGCCAACCTGAGTAAAAGCGATTAATAAATAAAGTTAAAACGGGAAATGCTCAGTAATCCTTCATTGCGTAAAAACCTGTCTGATCAATTTCTGAGAATTTGGAGATTGGAGAAAGCCAAAGATCTCGGAAGCATACAGATATAACATGAAGCTCCCATCCTTCCTCTGGTAGTACGTAACTCCGCCTTTTACTGGAGTGTCATCGGCGAATGGCTGGGTGATGTCCAGTATCTCTTCTCACAATATAAAGGCTACATCGTCTTGTTGGATCTGAACCACGTTTGTGTATCCTTGCGGTAGGTGCGTAAGCCTCATTGTCCTGAGCGGACTTTGAAACGTTGTGAAGTCGCGCGAGGCTACGTCGAGCACTCTGTGATTGAACCCGACGAATAAATCGAACATTGCATAAATTATGCGCCCCCCAAATGACTCAGCGTATAGCTCCAGTATAGGAGGGCATCCAGCGTCTTTTATAGTGATGGCGTTGAGCGGTTGTAGGTTGTGGATGATTCGTAAGACCCCCTTCTCCACCTTGGGAACACAGAACCAACTTGAATGGTAAGAGGAGGACGAAGGCTCGTAAACTCCAGAGGCAATCTTGTCTTTAATTATCTGGACCACCTGATCCCTGATCCCCAGTGGTATTGGTATGTTCCTTTGCTGCCACAGCATGTGCGCAAGGACAGGGAATTTGACTGGTTCAAAATAGTCTTCTTGAAATCTCCCTTTCTCCTGGTCGCTCCTGGCGAAAGCTTTTTCATGGTTCTTCTAGTTTTTCCTCTTCTGGCCATAACCAACCGTCCGGGTTTATGTTCATCGCATCCAGGTGCTCTTTCGTAAGCCTTTCTCCTGGTGTGAACTCCAGCGGGTGCAGATTCAAAGGCGGCATTCCTGCTAGTGGATCCGACGGGTATTTTTGAACGATCCTGAACTCCTCGGGCAAGGTGGCTGGAACCGAATGTACTTTAAGAACAACGGGTTCATATTTCTTTTTCTTCTTTTTCTCCGGTCGAGGAGGATTGTCAGTGTCCGCATCTGTTTTTACAGCGAAGGCGTGTATCGTTTCATTATATTCATAAACCTGTGATAAACAGAATTGTAAGTACATAGGTGATATTTCCCAAACCTGTTGTTACATGCATGCAAATGTGTGTAATCATGTATATATATTCCGGAAGCCTATGACAGGATTAACCTGTCATAGTGGCCTTTTGGCTCAGTTGGTAACGATGCTAGCTTCCAGACACGTTACGTAACAGTATGACAGGTTTAAACCGATCGCGAGTTCAACCCTTGGTGGTGGCATTATTTTTCAGGCCTGGGAAACCTGATTTAATTTGTCATCATAATGAGCTTGGTAACATCCGGCAGGTCGATCATGTGACCTGGGGGTCTGATGTGTATCATGTGGTCTTCAGAAGTGCACCCAGGTTCCACCCTGGTTCTCGGAGTTCCGTTGTGATGCGGACTGCGGTGCTTTAAACTGCCAGATGGTGGGGAGATCTGGGCTATGTTTAAATGCTTGTCCTCTAGGGGGAATTTGTTCTGTTGCGGTAGACAAATACATAGGGAGGGTTAAAATAATATTGGTGGGGATATCCGTACAAGGATTTGAACAGCCCGTTCAAAATCCTACTAGCTAGGGTGAACCGAGCAAACTCCAATGCCTAGTTAGCCTTCTTGGTTTAACGGAGGTTGGATCTGTTCTACACTTCCAAGGAGGAACTCCGGAAGGTGATGCAGGGTCCAATTCGTTAAGTCCAGGGTGAAATATGGGTTTTAAGGGCTTCTTTGACCACGAACCACGATCGTCCGAAGTATATTTGAGTCGTAGATCGTAAGACCGGGGGAGTTATGTGTCTGTGGTATTGTTTCTGCCATTCTCTCCTCCTTTTACCCCACTTTGTGCCTCTACGGAGTTTGCTCTCTACTTCTCAACCTGTTCCCTTGCTGAAGGCGACTTCCTGCGGGCTCTGCACCACCAACTTCCTTGGCTAGCAGCTACACACAAACTCCAAAGACTTTGTTGTGCTGCTTGAGAGATTTCACTGCCCTACTAACATAGGGGAGGAATAGAAGGTTTGATAATTGATGCTGAACTTATGCCGAATGAAACTCTGTTCGCTGTCTGACGGCGGCAAAGGAGTACCGGAGGTTGATTTACTGTATAAGTCGACTCCGGGTGACCTCTAGGTGATGTTTGGGCGGATTTAGCTACTCCTAAGCTGGCTAAGGCTTAGAAGGTGAGAATGTGGGCCGAAACTGAGATGATATTTTGGTAGACAAGCTGTAGTATTTATACCCCCAGCCCAAGGCTGTGCCAGAGTTGTTCCTTTGTATCCCAAACCCACTTGCTCACACGCTTCTCCGCCCGGAGTTTGTCTGTGACTCACTTCGGACTCCGTGATCCTACGTTCTCAGCCAGGCACCGAATCCACAGTCTGGATTTGCTGGCCCTAGCCCTGGATACTCCACTTCCGATCCTAGCTCTCCTCCTATCTGGCTTCCCCCTGCAACAGCTTGATAGCATAGTGGTAAATGCACTCCGTATCTTTTCACCCCAGTGTTTGACTTATGGAGAGATCCAGAGTTCAATCCTCCGTCGAGCCCTTCTCTTGTGCTATCCACTTTTTGACCACCCGGAGTTCCTGTTCCCTCTTTCTGGGCTGTATGCATTCATGGCTCGATGGCACAATTGTAACATATCCTGTGTTGGTTCTTGCACAAGCTCCTCTTGCAGGAAGTCCGGAGTTCAATCCTCTGTCAAGCCATCCCTCTGTTCCATTCCTTTTTCGTGCACCACTTATCAGACCTCCGTATTGGTCGTACACATGGTCCGGTGGCGTGTAGTGGTAACGCACTCTGTTCGCGTAGCTGGCGGGAAACTGAAATAATGGAGGGACCGGAGTTCGAATCTCCGACGGGCCTTGCGTTCTTTTTGTCCTCGAGTAAGAAGATAGGGCATGTTTTGAATAGTTCAGTGGCGTAATGGTATCGCACTCCGCATTCCTATGTAGTTCGTGGTATGCTTTACGGAGAGTTCGGAGTTCGATTCTCCGCTGAGCCATTATGAAGGAAACCCTTCTTCTTACAGCGATAGTTTTGGCTGGTCGTTCAATTCCTACGGCTTGGTGGCCTAATGGTAACGCACTCCATGGTGATCTAATGCATTTATATATCGATTGACGGAAAGTCCAGAGCTCGATTCTCCATCAAGTGGTAACGCGCTCCGTGGTTCTGCAGCATTTGCATATCAGTTGATGGAAGGTTCGGAGTTCAATTCTCCGTCAAGCCATTAGTTGGGTTGAGGTAACATGTTTAACTCGGAGTTGGTCCTTGGTGATTATTTGAGTTTGACTCTTGAATGGCTTGTTGGTGTAATGGTAACATGTTCCATGTTCCTATATGGAGCATTCGCATATCATTCGACAGAAAGTCCGAAGTTTGATTCTCCATCAAGCCATGTCTTGGTAGGTTGCTTTTAAATTGTGTCGAGCTGCAGCCGCAAACTCGGAGTTCAGGGTTTTGAGGTCACGTCAGGAGCTATCACAAGGTGATGGCTCACAGCGCTCACAGATAAAATAAACCTGTCAGACAAGGATGACATCATGAAGAAGGAGTATTTATAGCCAACACGGAACAGAGGACGTGTGGACAATAGGACATGTGACATGTGACAATTCACACAAACAATTAAATGACAGTTGACAGGTCTTGACAGGCCTTGCTTGTTCGCCCTTGGTTACACACTTTTGTAGTCTATTGGTGTTTTAACAAACCATGTATGTTGTAGTTCACATGGTTTGTTAAAACACCATAAGTACGATAGGTATTCGCCTGTAGTAGTTAACCTTTTATTCCATCTCATTTGAGACTTATCCTATCACACTACCCAATCCCTCTCATCTTACCAAGAGTGGACACGAGAGCCTTGACTGTGACATCTCCCCCGACAAAGTGCATAGCCAAATTGTTCTTGGTGTTTTACACTACAGAACTTGCACTCCTCTGGTTGAATCCATGCACCATGCAACTTGAAGTGCATGTGGATGAAATGTTCTTCTGTAAATAGGTTTACCCGATGCGCTGAGAATATATAGCAAGAAAACCTTACCAAATTGCACCATGTCCAGCACGTCCCAAAAAAACCACCAGTGCTGGAGCTGGGGCCAGCACTGTCGCATCCATTTGTGTTTGTGCTGGGGGGGCTGTTAGAGTCCCGATCTTGATTTTGCGTTGCCAGTGCCTTCTTCTAGCATGGTGTGTGTGCTAATTTGCTGAGTGGCAATGGCTGATTAGATGGCAGCTCAAAGGTGTACACTGCCAGTGGGCCATGTTGGATGCCAATATTGAGTTGATGGCCGTGTCCATCACAGCAGATGTCAAGGTGCTGTTTGTTGTCATCCACCCAGTACTGGGTGCTCTCAATACTTAAAAGTCAGTGCCAAAATATTGTAGAGGAAACAACTTACTTGGTTATGAGACAGTAGGATATCAGTAATAAGACCTAACAAACTTTTAGCACTGCAAAGAGGATAATTATAACATCTGACTTACTTTGAGTGGTGGTGGTGGTTTAAGCTCAAGAGAGAATGAGCCTGCTGGTTATCAGTGTTATAGGTCCGGTGGTGACGGTAGCAGGCCATACATGGTGTGGCTGCAGTGCAAGCAAGTATAGCATGATGGGTGGTGGGGAGGCCCTCATTGGATACCTCATGAGGGAGGCAATGACGTAGAGGGTGTTGTTTAGTGAGAAGAGTGTGGGAATGACCAGGCAAATGCAGTGCACCGAGTGCAAGGAGCAAGAAGGTTGAGGTCAGAAAGCATGCCACCTGATCTCACCTCATATAGTACCAATGGCACCTTGGACTCAAACCAAAAGGCAAGGCTTTGTATGTTGGCTGTGCGACCATCCCACACAACAGGGGACCAAGAGGGGCAGGATCAAATCCCAGCACAAGATTGTTGGGAAGGATGCAAAGGACAAAACCGATCCAGACGTGAATTATATAATCCAGCTACTAGACCTAAACTGATATTCAGCCAGATCCAATGGTCTTTAAAACATTCAGCGAGTAGTATCGACCAACACTACAAAGACAATTGAGTTGTTATAGATTGTCAATGCCAAGAGTTGCTGGAGAAATGAGATGCTAGTGTGCCTCTACCTGCTCAAAATGACTGGGACATCCAGACAGACAAGCACACAGATATTGCGCAGAAACAGGTGCACAACCATTACACCCAGCTTGACATGTTATGGCTAACGACAAGTACTCCCTCATTTGTTTGTGTCTTTTTTTGTCTGATCCGCAGATATCCAGGACATGAAATGATTTTCAATAAGAGGACTTTCTACCTGGATGCAGAGATTGGGGATCCTGCAATCCATGGTGCAGACAACAAGATAGTGGAGAGAATATGATTGTCACTCTTGTCCCATAGAGGCACTATTGTGGAAAGCCCTGAACCTACCATGACTGTCATCATCAATAACAATCAGACACAACATTACTTTAGAGGAGCATACTCTTTAGTCCTTGTAGGTTGATCTCTCCACATTGTAATTAAACAACTTACCATTTTCGCAGCCAAAAAATCACTGTGTCCACCTGCATTCTGGGATCCCGTTTTACTGGACTCAGGAATCACACTGGACATGATCAGATCTCATCTGGGATTCCTTACAGACCTAATTAGCCATGTTGGCACTTTAGACAATTGTATCAACGGACTTTTAGACACTAACAAGGTGGCTATCATAAAATGAATAAATGTATAGCTTCAGTCTCTATTGATAAAGAGTCTTCAGATACATCAGGAGATGAGTTCAAATTGACTTGTGGAAAAAAGAACCCAACCATGACATCTGCAATGGCTTGAGAAACCCACATTGGTCCCTTAGATTGGTGGCCCCCCTCCACCTTGCACTGGTGGTATTGCAGTCTGCTGATGCAGAACCAGACCACTAAGAGATCCCCATTGATGTAGTACCTCCAGACCCCCAAGGACAGTTGTGATACTGCCTGGAGCCTAGTTCTTTATACAAAGGTGTGTCCCGTGAAATGACTCTGGCACAAAGAGAAGCTACAGAGAGCCTGTCTGAGAGACAAAGAGAAGCTACAGAGAGCCTGTCTGAGAGATCAATGTCCAGGAACAGACATGCATGTTCTGCTCCAGGAAGGAGCATCTCCCTGTTTTTTTTTTCCACACGATCCGTTTTAACATAATCTGTGAACATTAGTTCTCTTGTAGTCGCCTCCCTCCTTCCACTCAGATAGTATAGGCTCTGGATCCAGAACTGCAGATATCCACTTGTTGGGAGCCCTCTGAGCTGTCCACACATGATTTGGAAGAGACGGCAGCACAGTACAGTGCACAGTTCATATGCCTGCAGAGAGTGTCAAAAACTCGGACATGGTCAAGTACTTCATCGACTGTGATAAACAAGGGGATGACACAGGGGTGCAGAGAAACCACCACACAAAGGATTGCAAACACCGTGAACAGTTTATTCATGGTCTCTTCTCCAATGTTGGACATGAATCCATGGTACGAGATGCCCAAGGCTTGTAGAGCATGGTTATGTGTAGCTTTACCATAGCCATGAGTGCCCCTGCCATCTTGCACCTATGTTCTAGATAACATTGGCTCTAAGTGTTACATCCTCTAACATGGCTGCAGCAAATTGTGTCTCTTCCAGCAAAGATTGTAGAAGCTCATCACCAAACAGCTCCTGGGGATTGTCAACACTCAATGGAGATATGGAACTTTTGACCTTGGAAGATGATGTTGGAATATGTGTTTGGACTATGACATTCTCACTTACTTAGTTGTAGTTACTATAGTTACTGCTCACCTGACTGATCAGTCATGCTGATTGATATGCTTATTGAGCATTCCCCATTTGATTATCATGTTCCTGATCTACTTACTCATGCTTATTCATGCTTAGTGATCACCTTACTCATGATTACTCATCTACCTATTTACTGTATATATAAGTAGCCTAGCTTAGACTGGAGTCCTCAGTTTCTCACTGTTGACTTCAGGTTAGTACTTACTGCACATTGTTCAATAACAGAGTTTCTCACTGTTGACTTCAGACCACTGTGCTTGCCTGTTCTAACAGATGATGATGATGAGGCCACATCAGGAGTGGATACAGGGTTCAGTATCATGCCACCTTGAAAGGGACAGGGCTTTATTATTATTGTAAGCTGTTTGGAATGTTCTCTCAATGTCGGAAGATGGTTGAAGTTGGGACATGTCAGCTACTTTGGTTGCTTTATCAATTTTGGTGGAGTAATGGGTGGAAAGCCGGGAGGTTTGGCAGGAAGGAGAGACGGACTTCCTCCATAAATTTCTCGCCTTCGCATGTCAAAATGTCAGGAGAATTGCAATTGGGAGGGCCTGATCCTCCTATAATATGCTTCCCTGTGGCTTTCTTTTTGTTTATCCAATGACACCATGTCCTTTAGATACTTGTGGTGGTGTAAAACACAGTGGATGTAACAAAGACTGTCTATCCACTGACTTTAGTAAATTTCTAAATATCTTGACCGATCCACCTGCTATCATTCAAAGGATAAAGATTTTCTGAAACGACAATCTGCTTGACTCTTTCCGAGAGATATATCCCCAGACCGAATGATTTCCCTGTGTGGCTGGAATACCACAAATTGTGCCAGTCAGCACCTAGGACAGGCTTGAGCAGTAGGCCAATTGTTTCCAAGTTGAAGCTTCAGTCCAGCCCAATCTTAGAAGACGAAGGTTGAAGACAGTACTGGCAATGGTGGTTGGCAACCCTGCTAGAAATCAGTGATGCAAAAACCAGTATTGCCGCATTTGGAAAGTACCCCTTATTTCTAAGGCTCTTTTACTTAGAACATCCTTGAATCATCTTCCCTGGGTCTAATTCTACCAATGTGGTTTGTCGTTGATATATAGCAGAAAATGCTAGATATACCACTTTTATTTATTTTTGTCCTGCAAAGGAGAGGAGAATCAGCAGGGAGCCTAACATGAGAAGAAAGAAACATGCCATAGAGTTGTAACTCTCTGCATTCTCTTCTCTCTTTCTCTTACCACTCAGACCAGCAATGTCAAGCTAGAAGGAGAGGTTACCTCCAGCTGAGGGTGAATGAAGAATAATACTTACAGACAGAGTGTTCAATTGAATTGTGCCTTCTTCAGGGAATGCTAAGAAACATACCTTTGCTGTTAGTGTGTTGTTCTGATAGACTGTGCATCGTTGTGGAACAAGCAGTGAACAAAAAGTATGCACAATGAGGTTTAACATCTTGGTAGATGGAAAGAGATAACTAAGCCCAGCCTGCCAATTCCAGGATCTCCCAGTTTCTGCTGCCTAAGTAAGGCATAATAACTCAATAGCTCACAGAATGTCTTTATTGCTAGCAGAAGAAATGGTGTCGTCTGGAAAGTTAATTCCACTTGGAGTGT